GGAGTCTTGCTCTATTGCCCAGGCTGGAGTGCAGTGACACAATCTCAGCTCAATGTAACCTCCACCTCCCAGGTTCAAGCGATTCTTCTGCCTCAGCCTCCCGAGTAGCTGTGATTACAGGCACACACCACAATGCCTGGCTACTTTTTGTAATTTTAGTAGAGGTGGAGTTTCATCGTGTTGGCCAGGTTGGTCTCAATCTCTTGACCTCGTGATCTGCCAGCCTCGGTCTCTCAAAGTGCTGAGATTAGAGTTGTGATCCGCTGCACCTGGCCCCATTTTCATATGTTAATCTCTAATTAGCATGAATACTCAGATCCATTGGTAAATGTTATTGAATATAAATTTATATATCCATAGTCACATTGTTTCTGTAAGCATAGATAAAAGTAAATAAAACTTTGCCGTTTTGATTTTTTGATAGGCTGATTTAATGGTGAGAGTTGACTTAAGTCATTCTTCTGTTTCAGCAACTGGCCATGCCACAGCACATAAAGATTACAGTGACAAGAAAAACATTGTTTGAGGATTCCTTTCAACAGGTATTGTTTCATTCACTCAATAATTTTTCCCCTTGCTGCTACCCTAGGACCAGCTTCTGGTGCTGGCAGTTTAATCTGAACAGTTTGGAACTTCTTGAGTTGAAGTCCTTGAAGTTTTCAAGTGTGATCTCATTGCCAGTCCCCTTACGGCTTAAGAGGTTGTGTGTGTGTTTATGTGTTTCAGGTTTCCATTTATAAACTGGTATTTGATTTGAAATGCACAGGTAAGATAATAGGTTTTTGGTAGCCAAAGGTCTGGAAATACCCATATGAACATTAACAGATGTGTAGAAAGTAGAGGGGAAGACTTTTTGTTTTTTAGCTTCAGTATTACTTGGATTTTTATAATAAGCACAATTAAATTTGTTTTTTTATACAGGAAAGAACCAGTTTTTTATACTGGTCATTGTTGACAGTATCTAAAAAAGATAGGAGTTTCCAGAAGTAGTCAGTGGATCTTTTCACACAACTTCAGAACTTAATTTACTCACCAGGCATGGTGGCTCACGCCTGTAATCCTAACACTTTGGGAGACTAAGGCGGGTGGATCACGTGAGGTCAGGAGTTCGAGATCAGCCTGGCCAACATAGTGAAACCTCATCTCTATTAAAAATTTAAGGGCCGGGCGCGGTGGCTCAAGCCTGTAATCCCAGCACTTTGGGAGGCCGAGGCGGGTGGATCACGAGGTCAAGAGATCGAGACCATCCTGGTCAACATGGTGAAACCCCGTCTCTACTAAAAATACAAAATTAGCTGGGCATGGTGGCGCGTGCCTGTAATCCCAGCTACTCAGGAGGCTGAGGCAGGAGAATTGCCTGAACCCAGGAGGCGGAGGTTGCGGTGAGCCGAGATCGCGCCATCGCACTCCAGCCTGGGCAACAAGAGCGAAACTCCGTCTCAAAAAACAAAACAAAACAAAACAAAAAAATAATAATTAAAAAAAAAAAAAAATTTAAAAATTAGCTGGGTATGGTGGCAGGTGCCTATAATCCCAGCTACTCAGGAGAATCACCTGAACCTGGGAGGAGGAAGTTGCAGTGACCTGAGATCACGTCATCGCATTCCAGCCTGGGCAAGGAACGAAACTCCATATCAATTTAAAAAAAAAAAAAAAAAAAAAAAAAGAAAAATAAAAAAAATAATAAAAAAAAAAAAAAAAAAAAAGATCAGTTAATTTACATTTATCTTGCAGATATCACTAATAACCTACTGCAACTAATGTTAAAGTGAATGTGTTATATAGAAGATTAAAATAACTGAAAAAATCTCTTAAAATGAAAACATCTGGTTAGTCCTTATTTTATAACCAGATGCGGAAGTGATTCTTTATTTTCAGACACCAGTGATATTGCAGCAACTACAGCTTTAAGAAGTATGAAACTGAATGCAAAGGGAAAACAGGTTGAGATAGTTGATAGTAGCTAGCTGCTTGCTTTCAGAATCAGTTTTGTTCATTTCCTAATAGAACTTCAATTATTGACATTAAAGGAAAAAGCCAGGTGGCATCCTGCTATTTAGGTGCAGAAAATGTTTTAGTGGGAACTGGAGCTATACTGAGGCCATTTAGAGAATTATGAGTCATCTCCTTGATCTAAGTATCAAAGGCCATTCCCCACCCTAGTCCTTGCCCATTTCTAATTTTTATGTTCATAACTATCCTATTATCACTCTGTTGGATGAGTTTCTTGAAACAACTTGCTGGTACCAGTACTGGAAAGTTGCAAAACATGTTAAACTGTTCCTTTATCTTTTGACTTTGAAACCTAAAGTATTTTGTAGAATAACAGACTAGATGGTGCTAAAGCAGTTATTTAAAATTGTCACCCTAGATTTGACATCCATCAAATAACGGGGTAAGAAAAACATAAGAACAGTTTAATTGCTTAAAAGTAACAAAACTAATTGCAAAATTAGCATTAGCATCAGATTTTCTTTGGATAGCTGTTGGATAAAATTGCTCTGGATGGTGTTTCATCTGTTAACATAGCACAACTGGTTATGGGGGAAAACACAGGAGAAAACAATGTTTTTTCCTTCATATTAGGCATTTGTTAAAAGGAATTATTTAAATATAGTTTTTGCCTTGTAACATTTCTCATTTGGGTTGCTATATACCTAGCCTATACTATTTGTAGAATACTTGGCATAAACATATACACATATCATAAGCATAGAATTTTTTGTTACATGTGGGACTTTTTGGCTTGAGTGGGATGTGAATTTATAAATGTGATAGTTTTATGGGGGAACTGAGAGAACCTTGGCATAAACAGGTTACTTACTGATCCTCTCTGGATATTTATATGTGAGAATTCATTCTTTTTTTTCTCCCCCCCATCCCCAAGAATTCATTCTTATCACTTGATAAAGTATAGGCATTATATCAACTTCTCCCTTTCCAGGTTCTTATGTATTTTTTTCCTAAGAGTAATTGATATATGCAGTGCTATACACATACAATTTTGGTCAAATTATTAGTTTTACATGGCAGGAAACCAAATGACATATTTGTTGTAGCTCAGTAATGGTACTGTCCTTCAAATACGAAGATGATCCTGCATTGGAACTGAATCATTTTCTGAGTGAAAAAAAAAATAATTAAAATGATCCTATTAACCACCTATAGTGGGACACAAAATTTGAGTAGTTTTTCTAGGTATTTATAGGTTGCCACTGAGAATGAGTTTCCAGAGTTAACTGGGTCTCTCTACAGCCACTGGTTTTCATTTCTCGGTTAGCCAGTTAGCTGTTATGTATACGTTTGGCTGTTAATCAAAATCAAACTTAATAACCAAACCAGAAAAACTCCACCTAACCTCTGACCATGCCCATCTGTGTTGTAAGTAATTGATATAAGCAACATGGTAAGTCAATAGTAGCATCATTAAAAATAAAATCACGGCCAGGCACAGTGGCTCATGCCTGTAATCTCAGCACTTTCAGAGGCCGAGGTGGGCTGATCTTCTGAGGTCAGGAGTTCGAGACAACCTTGGCCAACGTGGAGAAAACCCGTCTCTACTAAAAATACAAAATTAGCCGGGTGTGGTGGCGCATGCCTGTAGTTCTATCTACTCGGGAGGCTGAGGCAAGAGAATGGCTTGAACCCAGGAGGCGGAGGTTGCAGTGAGCTGAGATCATGCCATTGTACTTCAGCCTGGGCAACAAGAACGAGACTCTGTCTCAAAAATAAATAAATAAATAAAATCACGCGTATAAAGTATATAAAAATATAGATGTGTATAATAAAGAAAATATTATTAAACATTACTATAATGTATTTTCTGTATGTGTGATTTTGACTAGACCATGAACACCTTTCTATGTCATGGGAGATTTAAATTATCTACAATGAAGGAGTTGTCAAACTTAGAAGTGGTAGACAATGTTTCAATAGCTTTTTTCACCAGTTATCTTACTTTATTGTTTTTTAGATAATGAGCTTCAGTCCCCAAGATCTGCGAAGACGTTTGTGGGTGATTTTTCCAGGAGAAGAAGGTTTAGATTATGGAGGTGTAGCAAGGTAGTGATAATATGAATACTCAGAACTTAGTTCCTTTCCTCCAAAGGTACCATTACACTTTGCTTGCAAGTATTATTTTCTCACTATTATATTTTAGGAAAATGAAATATATCAAATTATACCTTTATTATGCTGTAGCTACAGAATTTCAAAAAACATTTAATTCAGCACTTTCTGTGTCATATACAGGTGATTTATTTCACCCACATCACCCATTTAATCTTCAGGGTAACCTTGTGAGATAGAATTTTACAGGATAACAAAGAGGCTTAGAGACTCACCTAAGGCACAGAATAAGTTGTAGAGCCTGGATACAATCTTTGTATCATCTAACCAGTAACCATTGTTCAGCCTACCACCTCTCATGTCTGTTCCACAGAAAACCCAAGGCCTTATAGAGATCAGGTAATTTCCCCCGCCACAGATTACTGATACAGGTAATAGTTACTCAGTTTGCAACTGAGATTAGTATATTTGTCATGAAAATATAGAAGGCTGTAGGAAATAGGAGTTGAAAGTCTTAATTCTGCTTTCTTCATATTGGAGCTTGGAATCAGTCCCTAGAAGATAGTCTCAAGTGAGAACTGCTTTGCTTATTCCGTAATAATATATCACACCAGCTTAAAAATTTGCCTAGAGATGGCATTGTGCAAAAGTAAAGAAAAAAAAAGAGATGGCATTGTGCAAAGACAAGGACTTTGGGATCAAGACTGGATTTGAATCTTTCTTCTGCTTCCAATAGTGTGACGTTGGGCAAATATTTTCATCTGTAAGATAAGAATAGTAATATCTACATTTCTAGGATTATTGTGAAGTATAGAAATATTGTTTATTAATGACCTAGTTCAGAGTCTGTGTCTTCGCGTACTCACTAACTGGGGCTGACATTTTATTTTAGTAATTCTTATTTATATTGTGTTTCTGAGTTCAGATAAAATGATTTCAATTTAATGATTTATAGATAAATAATAAATATGAGTAGAAACGTAATTTTGTGTAAGTTAAAGGCAGTTCAAGAGGAGAAAAATAATTCATTCTTAAAAAGAAAATCAACTGGCAATATTAAAGTATATCATGAGATATACTTATCATAAGAGGCATGAACTAACAGGAAAAGAGATCCAGATTACAAGCTGATGCCACATGTATTGCCCTAGATCACCCATATTACGTAGTTTTAGTAACCATAATCTTATGTTAATATTGGTTCATATTTTCACGGTTTTTCACTTATAGTCTCTCAGAGCATTTTCTAATATTTGAGTGGCTGTAATTAAGTGCTTTACTGCCTCTGTGAAATTGGAAGATTCTTCATAATCATTTAATGTGTAGGGAGTAGTGGCACTTGATGGGGATTATTATGGGACTTAGATGACATATTAGAATGAATTCAGCTACTCTACTGACATGGGTCAATAGTGAATTTTAATTTTGCCTATGAATAGTATTTCATTTATTCTATGACTAATATTTTCATGTTATAATATCTGAAATTAAGATGTATTGCAGTTAAAGTTGGGAAAAAACTATTTAGCGGTTCATCACATAAAGGTGTAATGATGTCTTAGATTCTTTGAAATGTAGAAAGTTGTATGCTACCGTCCCTGTAAAATATATGTGAGTTTGAACAGAAGCAATAAAAATCAACATGAGATTAGAAAACTGTCATTAGCTGTGGGGTATAGAACCCTGAGAACTTTATAGCACTGTTCTTTGATTTGTTGGCATGGTAACCTACAAGATTTTTCATCATAAATTTTCTTTTGATTTCAGAGAATGGTTCTTTCTTTTGTCACATGAAGTATTGAACCCAATGTATTGCCTGTTTGAATATGCAGGGAAGGATAACTACTGCTTGCAGATAAACCCTGCTTCTTACATCAATCCAGACCACCTGAAATATTTTCGTTTTATTGGCAGGTTTATTGCCATGGTAAGTGCAGGTCAAGAATTATGTTTACTTTGCTTATTCAGCAATACTAAATTTTCTTGTAGGTACCATAACAGGTCATACAGGTTAAAGGGAAGTGTTTCTTGGTTTTGTTTTATTTTTTGTTTTTGAGTCATAGTCCTGTTCTGTCGCCCAGGCTGGAGTGCAGTGGCACGATCTCCACTCACTATAACCCCTGCCTCCTTGGCTAGCCTCCTGAGTACCTGGGATTACAGGTGTGCACCAATGCCTGGCTGATTTTTGTATTTTTAGTAGAGAAAGAGTTTCACCATTTTAGCCAGGCTGGTATTGAACTCCTGACCTCAGGTGATCCACTGCCTCAGCCTTCCAAAGTGCTGGGATTACAGGTATGAGCCACTGTGCCCCACCAGGGAAGCATTTATAAATGAAGAATTCATCTAACATATTGAAATAAAATGATTATTGTACAATTATTGTAAGTGGTCTTGTTTCCTTTTTTTATAGGCTCTGTTCCATGGGAAATTCATAGACACAGGTTTTTCTTTACCATTCTATAAGCGTATCTTGAACAAACCAGTTGGACTCAAGGATTTAGAATCTATTGATCCAGAATTTTATAATTCTCTCATCTGGGTTAAGTAAGTTTCTTTTTCCATGTAATTTATTAAAATATAGTTTATATGCGTTCCATGTGGTATTGGTAACTTAAACTGTAAGCACATAATTGGTTTACATTTAAATGATCTGTATATCAAACCTGTGTTTTTATTCAACATGATAAATTTTACAAAAATATACCCTAAATCTTTGGCAATAATATGTTGACCTTAGAATAGAATCTTCCATTTTCTTCATATTTTAATGTTACAGCTTAATATTAATGTTATTAATTATTTAAGAACATGGGCCTTTAGTTAAAAACTTATAAATTATGATTGAATTGGTGGATATAACACATAGTGCTAATTTCATTTGTGCAGAGAAAACAATATTGAGGAATGTGGTCTGGAAATGTACTTCTCCGTTGACAAAGAAATTCTGGGTGAAATTAAGAGTCATGATCTGAAACCCAATGGTGGCAATATTCTTGTAACAGAAGAAAATAAAGAGGAATACATCAGGTGAGAGTGCTCCTTTTCACATTTCACTTTTTGTTGAACTACAGCACATTAATAATTGCTTACTAATATCTACAAAAATAATATTTATCTCCCTGCTAATCATTATCCTATGTAGGCAGTCATTTTTCATTTCTAAAAAGAGTCTTTTAAAGTGTTTTTAAAAGAGTTTAAAGGATAAAAGTCATCCAGGGTCACTCTTGTAAACATCAGTTCTGTAAGCACTATACTGTATAACAAGTCATTTAAAATAATCTCATATATTCAGATATTTTCACAGGGAATATTGTAAGATATATTAGTCCACTTTCCTGCTGCTGATAAAGACATACCCAAGACTGGGCAATTTACAAAAGAAACATGTTTAATGGACTTACAGTTCCACATGGCAGGCCTCACAATCATGGTGGGAGGCAAGGAGGGGCAAGTCACATCTTACATGGATGGCAGCAGGCAAAGAGCTTGTGCAGGGAAACTGCTGTTTTTAAAACATCATCATTGGCTGGGCATGGTAGTTTACACCTGTAATCCCAGCACTTTGGGAGGCTGAGGCAGGAGAATTGCTTGAACCTGGGAGGCAGAGATTGCAGTGAGCTGAGATTGTGCCAGTGCACTCTAGCCTGGTGACAGAGCGAGACGCCATCTCAAAAAAAAAAACAACAAAAAATACCTCATCATGAGATCTTGTGTGAGACTTACTATTACAAGAACAGCATGGGAAAAACCCACCCCCATGATTCAGTTACTTCCTACTGGGTCTCTCTCATAACACATGGGAATTGTTAGAGCTACAAGATGAGTTGTACTTTGTCCTAGCAGAGGTTCTCCATGAGGGCCCCGCCCCTACAGCAGAATTTTGTTTGAGCATCCAAGCATTTCCATACATTTTCTGAAATCTAAGCAGAGGTTCCCAAAGGTCATTTCTTGCCTTCTGTGCACCTGGAGGCTCAACACCATGTGGAAGCTGCCAGGGCTTGGGTCTTCCACTCTCTGAAGCAACAGCCTGAGCTGTACCTTGTCCTCTATTAGTCATGCTGGAGCAGCTGGGACGTAGGGCACCAAGTCCCTAGACTGCACACAGCATGGGGACCCTGGGCCAAGCCCACAAAACCATTTTTTACTCATAGGCCTATGGGCCTATGATGGGAGGGGCTTCCATGAAGACCTCTAACATGCCCTGGAGACATTTTCCCCATTGTCTTGGGGATTAACATTTGGCTCCTCATTACTTATGCAGATTTCTATAGCCAGCTTGAATTTCTCATCAGAAAATAAGATTTTCTTTTCTATTGCATTGTCAGACTGCTCTACTTCCCTTATAAAACTGAATGTCTTTAACAGCACCCAAGTCTCCTGCTGAATGCTTTACTACTTAGGAATTTATTCTGCCAGATACCGTAAATCATCTCTCTTAAGTACAAAGTTCCACCAATCTCTAGGGCAGAGGCAAAATGCCTCAGTCTCTTTACTAAAACATATCGAGTCACCTTTGCTTCGTTTCCCAAAAAGTTTATTTCCATCTGAGACCACCTCAGCCTGGACTTTATTGTCCATATTGCTATCAGCATTTTGGCCAAAGTCATTCAGCAAGACTCTAGAAGTTCCAAACTTTCCCACATTTTCCTGTCTTATTCTGAGCCCTTCAAACTGTTCCAGTGTCTGCCTGTTACCCAGTTTAAAGTTGCTTCCACATTTTCAGCATCTTCAGCATCACCCCACTCCTGGTAACAATTTACTGTTTTCACACTGCTGATAAAACATACCTGAGAGTGGACAATTTACCAAAGAAACTGTAATGGACTTACAGTTCCACATGGCTAGGGGGCCTCACAATCATGGCAGAAGGCAAAGAGGAGCAAGTCGTATCTTACATGAATGGCAGCAGGCAAAGAGAGAGCTTGTGCAGGGAAACTTCCATTTTAAAACCATGAGATCTTGCGAGACCTATACTGAGAACAACATGGGAAAAACCCACCCCCATGATTCAGTTATCTCCGACTGGCTCTTTCCTACAGCACATGGGAATTATGGGAACTACAAGATGAGATTTGGGTGGGGACACAGAGCAAATCCATATCATAAGGTTGCATAAAATTTAAAACTAAAATGATGTTTTCTAATTCTTTTTTTTTTTTTTTTGAGACAGAGTTTTGCTCTTGTT